TTGATGTGACCATAGGGCTTCTGAAGGCATGTTGAAGGTCCCTTGGGTCCCGCAAATGGTTGGGTGCTGAGCAGCTTGGCAGTCCAGGCCTTGGTGCAGAGTGGGGATGGCAGGTTGGGTTGGGGTTGGAGAGCAGGAACCGGGCCAGCAGGGGCTGGGTTCTGGGTGAGGGTGTCTAGGGCTCTGCCCCAGGGCATGCCGCCCTCATGACCACCCCTTGCCCCACTTCAGGGAACAAGAGGAGGACCAAGTGCTGGAGGACATGATCCAGAAACTGGGTACTGATGGTGGCCGGGTGGTGTGGGGGCTCGGGGGCCACTGTGGGAGGTCCCTCCAGTGCACCCCAGCATGCCTGGCCTGGGGGTCTAGAGGTATTCCACCCTGGGGGGGCTCCTGCAGGAGCTGCTTGTGGCTGGAGGTGGTAATGCAGAGGAGGAACATTGCAGAAGGGCCTGCGGACCTCACTGCATCCTACCCCTCAGGCCTTCAGAGGAGCAGCCAGAGGAAGAAGGCCAAATTCCGCCTGTCCAACATCTGGAGCCCGAGGAGCAAGAGCAGGACCCCCGAGTGAGCTGCTGTGGGGGCGGGGCCTTGGGGGCCGGGCACGATGCAGATGCAAGAGAGGACTGTGGAGTGGGGACATGGAAGGTCTTCTCTCTGGGGTCCAGTGGCTCAATAAAGACACTGACGGTGTGTACCTCCTGTCTGTCATGCTGGCAGCCCATGTGTCCCTACTCCAGGTCCTCCTGACACAGACCTCGCTGGTCATAGTGCAGCACGTGTCCACTGTGCGGCTGGTCTCCCAGCTTGGCTGTGCTCATGGGAGACAAGCCAGCAGCAGACGGTGCAAACCAGGTGCTGACAGACTGTCCACATCCTGGGTAGACTGGTCAAACATGGACAGCACGGGGTGGGCATGGCACAGTGGACCCTGAGGGCAGGCTGCACCCCCCTGGGCCTCAGGGACTTGGCTCCCCGGTCAGAGCTGAGACTGAGGCTGCTGTCCCACTGACACTCGGAGGAGGGGTGCTGTGAGAACTTGGGCTATCTCCTTGGCATTTGGGGCGTGGGCTGTGACCTGGCTCCCTCTTGCCAGCCCTTGTTGGTCCTGGAGCCCTGGATGAACGTGTCCCCAGCGTTCTGTACCCCCATCTCGTCCACTTGGTGTCTCCAGCCCTGGTCTGTGCCTGCTCACCTTGGTGTGTTCCGTCTTCTCTGTGAGGACGCGCTCAGGATACAGGCCCACCCCCCCAATTTGGTCACAGTTACAATGACATTGTCAAAGGCCCTCTTTCCAAACACGGTCGTGTTCACAGATGGTTTGGGATTTCAGTGCAGTCGGAGGGCACAGCTCCACCCAGATCATCATCTTGGGGTGCCAGCAGGGCTGAGACCCAGATGTGTGACATGTGTTGCTCCCCCCGCCCCGAACCTCAATTAGGGAAGCAGACAGTCCCGGGTGAGCTTGTCAGGGCTTAGCTGCACTGGGGCGCAGTTCTCAGGACCTCGGCTTCAGCTTTAGGCCGATGGTCACCAAGTGGGCAGTGAGGAGCAGTCAGTCAGTGACCCAGACAGGTTCAAGTTGCCAGAGAGAGTGTGTGTGTGTATGGGATCGCTGGATGGAGGGGTGCAGGGTGCTGAGGGGTTCAGAGCAGAGGCCCCACAGTCACACACACCAGGAAGGTGAGGGGACTGGTCAAGCCTGCTGGTCTCTGGTCCACTATCCCCCATTGGTTCTCCGTTCAGGGCCCACCAGGGACAGGGCTGCAGACTCCCGCAATGTGGTATCATGGCCACCAGGGGGAGGCAGAGCGCCACCCAGACGAGCTGGGCACAGGCACATACAAACCAGCTCCATTTTACAGACAGGGAAACTGAGGCTCAGAGGCACGTGCCTGGAGGCCACACAGCAGGTTACATGCAGGCCCTGGGGATGGAATCTGGGGCTGGAACTCCAGGCAGGGGTTGGTGGTTGTCCAGAGTTCTGGGGGCAGCTGAACTGACCACTCAGTTGAGGGGAGCCCCAGCAGCTGAGAGATGCCAGGGAGGGTGAGGGGCAGGGTGACACCTCTCCCCATCCTCCTAGGATGCTGTTGGGCCCCCTGCGTGCTGAGGTTGTGGGACCGCTGCCCACGTCTTTAGCCTTGGTCTCGTCACCTAGTCGGGACAGTACAAGGACTGACCTGGGGGGAGTCAGCCTGTCCTGAGGGGCTGCCTGCCTTTCCCAGGGGCAGTGAGGGGGTGAGAGCTCGGGTTCCAGCACCCTGATGGCACAGACTCCCCTTCTCCGCATCCCCAGTCATGGGGTGTGTGAGGGTCTTCTGGGGCAGCTCAGAGCCTGGGTGGGGGTGTCCCACTTCCTGGGCCCAGAGAGGTAACCCCACTGGTCCCTGTCCTTTAACCTCTGCTGCCACCCCCCAGTGCAGCTGTGAGGGTGGGGGGCTTTGAGTCAGGATTCTTGGGTTGCTGCCCTTGGGGTTCCTCCTGCACCCTGATATGAAGGAATTAACCTTAACACGGCTCCACTGGGGGACCTGGTAGTTAAGTGCTGGTTTACTTACCTAAAGGTTAGCAGCTTGAACCCACCGTCCGCTCTGTGGCAGAAGGCTGAGGCAGTCTGCTCCCTGAAACCCTACAGGGTGGTTCTACGCTGCCCTGCCAGGTCCCTCAGAGCTGGAATGGACTTGCCCACAGTGGGTCTGGGCTTTTTGGGGTTGAGGCCCACTGCCTCCTGAGGTGCCTTTGACCTGTGGTGTTGGTTTGTGTGTGTGGTCAGAACATTCTGGAAGCCTAGGTGCCTGGAGCATGAACAGGGTGGAGATGGTCTGGGGCTCCTCATCCAGTAGGAGGACAGAGCCAGAGGAGGCTGGATCACCCACCTTCAGCAGTCTGGGAACTCCCTCTCCAATTGCTTTGGCTCCCACTTAACGCACATGTCTGAAGCTGTGAGGTAACAGCTCTGTCCTGAGCCTCCCTCCACAGGGGCTCCCGAGACCTGACCATGTAGCCGCTCGGGGCAGCTTTGAGGAGATGGCTGTGGCAGAGCCTCCCTGGGCTGGCCAGCACTGCCTTCTGGTCCCGGACCGGACTTTCAGCTCTGACGCTGATGAGTTCTCCAGGTGGGCCTGAAACACTGGTGAAGGTGGGTCGAGTGAACAGCAGCCCGTTAGACTGTTAAGAAAGAGTATTGTACCCACTCCTTCAACTGGAGCTACACTTCATAAAGCACATTAGGACCAATCCAATAGAACCCACAATATCGAGAACATCTTACCACAAGTTCAGATAATCTCACAGTCCTCTTAAATGAAAAGCTAACCCCTTTTGGTTGGCTCCTGTAAGCTTCTGTAAACTTCATCAGTGGTTTTGACAATGTTACTTTTCAATATGGGCCATTTTTCTTTCATTTATCTACTCAAGAGAACTGTCTGGATTTGATTTGTGAGCCCACCTGTTGGATTTGCCCTCGGGCAGGTGCTGGGGGAGGGTTGAGGGCCTGTGGCCCTGAGGGTATTTGAAGGTTAGGTGGTCAGCACCATGGCACCCCAGTACTGCAGAACGGAAATTGGTGGGCTGGGGCTCCTGGACATTGTAAGCGAACCCACCTGGCCCTGCAGCCTCCCCTCCCAGCCTCCCCCTCCTAGCATCCCCTCCCAGCCTCCTCCTCCCAGCTGCCCCCTCCC